ACCAACAACAATCTCAGACGGAAAGTTTCATATATGTATATATACAGGGTGGCCATTTTCTGAATCCTTGTATGGGTAACTTCTACATTTTTCAAGATAGAGAATCCGTTAAATGGGCAAAATTGGGCAGAATTCGATTGCCTATTCATTACCGTTTTCAAAATTTAGGTACCCAACTTGGTTCCTGAAATATTCTGAAAAGACAATAAATCAACACTTTTTTAATTATAACATAAACTGCTTAACTTAGAAAAAAAGTTAAAATTGCCCTTGGTATAACTTTCTGCGGTGAAGCCGACATACTAGCACTCGTTGTCATAGTCAACTTATTTACGAGATTTACGAAATTTATGTTTTTTTAAATGGTAATCTTAGTTGGCTGTGGCCCTTTCAAAATCCTTATTTCCTTCTGAATTTAACGATAGGCCTTGTTCGGGAGAAAATGGAAAGGAGAGGGTGTTGTCGATTCATACTTCTAGTTGTCTGTATTCAAGTAGGTTTTTCACGGTATGGAGTAAGTATTTGGGTGTATTTAGTTTGTAAAGAAAGGAAAGTTTTAATTTGTTTGCTCGTGGGTTTCAGTGCTTAGGTAACACATAGAAATTAAATTAGCTTTGTTGAAAAATTTGTTGTAAAATAATGTTTTGATTCTGGCAAAATAAAAATTAAAACGTTAACATTATTATACGTATTCTGGAATATAGATAGATTGAAGGGTTATAAACAAAAAACCGAAATTATCATAATTACTATAAAAGTAAAAGTATGCATGAAAAGACATTTAAAAAAAAGTGCACTTTTTTCTAGCTGAAAAATGGGTGGGTAATGTGGAATACCAATATACTCTAATGTTGAATAGGTTTAATATTAGACTTGATTTTAAAGTAATTTGTGTTTTTTATGTAAAGCAACAGATAATTGAAAACACACTTATTTTATTATATTACAAAATACAAAAAAAACAATAAATGAAAATGAAAATTAGTAATAGGAAAAGTAACTTAGAACAAAAGGACAAAAATGACAGATCCATGGGTCTTTTTCGGCACCTGCACATTCTTCGTGTGCCCAGCAGTTGCACATGGCACACATAACCTATATTTCTTCTCTAGTATCATTTGAAAATCTTTGGTCACAAAAAAGACAAATTGCGTCATCAGGGCACGTTTCCAGCGGGAAAAATTTCTTCATCGCCTCAAGAATTTAGCAAGAAACCACTTTTGTTCGATTCTGAGCTTGACAAAGATAAAATCTTTTTTGGACGTTTAGCGTTTAGCAGAAAATTTCAGCTTCTTTTGCTTTTGAAGTTTACTTTGCATTCCACTGCACCCTGGTTCTGCAGGATTTTTTTTTTCTTTACCATTTCCCGTTTTTCTATTCCTGAATTTATAGACTTCTCTAATTATTCGTTATTCGGTGTAGAAGTTATAATTTTTGCCTTTCCAGGTTTTCTACTCCCAGTTGCTATTTTCTTCTTCATGGTGGGTACCGGAATAATGTCTTGTGGGTTAACTAAAATGGATAAACATTGCATTTCTTCTCTATTTCCGCGATTAAATTCTGCAAGCTGTTGTTCTTGAACCACATAATCGTGATGTGACGCTGCCAAAAAATCTTCATCAGTAAAAACATTCCTTCTAAGCGGATAAATCCCTGTAACTGCAAAACCCTTCACAGCTCGCTCGGTGGAATGAACTTTTAAGTAAGCCCGGTCAAAAAGTTAGCAGACATCAAAGTGAGTGATAGCACGTTTATTTGTTCTCAACAAACTTCGAATCTCTTCATTGTAAAATGTTGTCAGTGCCCCCATCACTGTTTTATCAAGGGGCTGCATTTTATGAGTTGTGTGCGGGGGAAGACAATTAATTGGAACAAATTTTTCTTTAGCCTTCACTACAACATCAAGGTTCCTAGTATGGGTATTATGTCCATCTAGGATGAGGAGAATTGGATTATTTTCAGATGGGTAAACTTTTTCAATAAAGTGGTCAAACCGGGCAGTAAAAAGGTCAGTCTGTATCCAACCTGATGGATGAAATTTGAACAGAGTCCCTGGTGGAGCGCCTTTTTTAAATTGTTTGTTCCAGTTTTTTCGCGGAAATGTCATCAAAGGTGGAACAAAATTCCCTTCTGCGCTCATACACATTACAACAGTTATTAGCTATCCCTTTTCTGCAGAAGTAAGGCTTCCGATCTGACGTTTTCGTTTCAATGCGAGAACTTGAAGACACTTCGACTGCACAATACAAATACCATACTCATCCACATTAAAAATCGGGGCAGCAGTAAGCTTTTTTCTTCAAAAATTGTTTCCAGTAAGCCAAAGAATTCATCGGCGCTCTCTTTGTTGAATCCAGTAGCCCGTTCCGAGTTGATGTACCTGTAGGTCTTCTCAAACTGATCAGCTTCTTATGCCTACCAAGGAAACGCTTCATCCAGTTTTTTTCAGCTGATTGGTGGGGCAACGAAAATGGATTTGGGAGATTATTTTGCCTAGCAAGTTGAAAAGCAATAGAGCATAGGTTCCGCCTTGTTAAACCAAAAAAACTTTTTCTTTATTAACAGAATCTACTTTACCAGTTTGATTTCTAGCTCTTCAATTAAAACAGGTTTTCTTCAAGAAGTTTCCTTTTTAATATTTTCTACTTCTTTATCATTCTTGCAGTATCAAAATAATGTAGAGCGCGATACCTTGTAATGTTTAGCAGCCGCCAAATAGCCCATTGCTCTTCTCCGTAGTGCAGTCCATTTGTGTTCCTTCACATTTCTCAGAGACATTTTCTGAAATAGCAAAAATATTTTCCACATTCAAACCCTACTTGGTATTCCACAATACCGACCTTTTAAATATTTATAGAATATGTTTACAAAACATTAAAAACAAAATATGAATGGAATATTTAACACAGTTTACAATCAGTCACTATCTACCTTTACGCTTATACACCAATCTTGCAAAAAATTTATAAATGGAGTCATAATAGACGTTAATTTAAACACGTGCAAAAATATAGCGACCGTTACAATTACAACCAATACTAACAAGCGACCGCCGCGAAATGCTCCATGGTGTTGGTAAGTGTAAAATATTTTTAAATGAGCTTCTGATTAGGCTATTTTCAAATAGATGGCAATATTAGTTTTGCCGCAAATGGGTTATTCCACACTTTAGGCACTATTCCACATACGGCTACTAAATTATCCACAAGCTAACAGACTTGAAACGACAAAGTTAACTTTCGACTAAACTATTCTGCTCCTTGTTTAATCTTTCTTGCTAATCTCCCATCGCGTCTCTTTCCTCCTGTTTGGGGCGAATTAAATTAATTTATTTTCCAATTTCAGAAAAACATTATTACCAACCCTCGTGGCATAAAAGCACAAATTAAGTGTAGATAACTTTATAATGAACTTTATATCTGGTCATTTCTGAGATTCTTAGGATTATTTTGCGACTATTTATGTTTCTAACTTCTAGCCACTAATCCGGTATAACTTAAAATTAGTTTCCATTAACTGCAGTCAAGACAGCGCTACAGTACATCCCCAATCAGCACTGGGTATTACAGTTGAAACTAGATTGTGTTGGTTGAATTATCCAACAGATTTTCTACAATTGGATTTAATTTCAGTAGTAAAAAGGACGCTAATCTAGATTTCCCAGCCTTCAGGTGCTATTTCAGGAAGGCGAGATGTTTAAATTAAATGTGGTCCTTAGTAGAGAATAATACAATATTGTTTTTGTCACCCTCAACGGAATTAAGTGCAGAATAATGCAACTGTTGATTTTACCTTTTAGAGTAATCCGAGGTTTATCCCCCCTGGAAAATCTCCCACAAATAACCAGAATATTTAAAATAACCTAAAGTTCACAGTTTTTCAATAAAATTAGCCATCACCGCTGACTGTTCCTCCTAATGAAATTATTTAAGTAAAATAATCAAGTAAGTACCCCCACATGTCACTAACTTTCAGGCTCTAAGAGATTAATGAGCAGCAATTTAAAAACAAAAAGGTCTTAGAACATGACTCCCTTTAATTTCGAAACAGGCATGTCTAGCAATAAATTGAGACAGAGTTTGGCCATTCTGAATGTCTCTAAACTAATGCTGTCTCCAACCAAAAAAAATAGTAAAACTTGAAAAGGTGTTCTACGTCTAATGAAAATAACAATTAGTTCCTCACATTGGTTGTTGAATGAGGCAATTTTAGCATTTAACCCAGAAGCTCTAAAATATTATTAGGGTTTGCCCTTAGGAATTCCGACGATGAGATTAGTGAATATGTGGTTAGTCTGCTTTTATTACCCAGAAATCGGAATTCGGTTAGAGTTTAGGAGATTTGGCAGCTTCGTTTACTGATCGATAGTCCACTGCAGAATTTATTGGATTTTCGGAGCGCAGAAAATAAACATTTCTGTTGTTACCAAATGTTTTCTAACTATTTTTATTTAAATTTTAAACTATTTTTATTTTAAACTTCGCAATTTCCCACAAACCGATTAGAGCAATATCAAAGAACGTCCTTTCAAGTTTCGCTTAAGCGTGTACCTTGCGCGTAAAACCCGGAAAATTTAAAGTACTTTCTTTCGTTGGCCAGTATGATTGGGTTTATAGTATTGGAGAATCGTTGTTGTTTACTAAAAGCCGAAGAAAATGTTGGAAAGATTTACATCATTTTTAATATTGAAGATTTTATTTAATTTCTTCTTTTTCAGCCTTGAATGTGGTTTAGGTAATTGATAATTTTTTGGTTTCCTGCTCAATAACAAAAATACCTTATTCTATATAACAAGCTTTCGAATGAAAGGTTTTGTAAATAGTGACGATATTTAAGTCTCTCTTAAGGCCAGCATTGAAAGTTGTCGAGAAAAACTAATTTATAAAACCCACGTCCTTTTTATCAGATCTCCTCGTGCTACATCTTAGTGCAAGCCAAATTAAATGCTGTTATTTTCATTATGTTTACTCCTCACACAGAAAATGTAACAATAGTCATTAAAACGCCACATGCACCTGTGCAGAAAACATTTTAAATGTCAAACCAATAAACATCAATGTTTTTCAGTTTTGAACAATAGATGTATGTTACGTTTCCATTTACGCTTACGAGCACTGCTTTTTAAACCAATATTTATTTCACTTTGATATATTTTCACTTTCTCAATGTCTGAGTCTTTGATTTATTGCGCCACTTGCTGAATAAAATATGTTTCAGGGCATAATGGAGTTTTCAACTGAATAGCAAATCCCAAGTTTGTTGACGATAGACGAAGAAAAATAATTCCTCGAATTGAAGTGTTAATATGAAATAAACATATTTGTTTATATTGATATTTATCTATGTACAATTCATTTTCTTGTGTTGTGCGGAAGCGTGACGGTTTGACTTGATTTATTTCTGTCTGCAAGTTGAAGGCAAAATGAGCACGGACAAGACGGTAATTGTTACCAGAGTAGTACCTAGTCTATATCATTTTATCTTTCATCTTCTTTGTTTTAGTTTCTGAAAGAAGGTATTGAGGCAATACAAGTTCTCATTTGCTAGGAAGTTGAGTAGCATTTCGCCTCTGTTGTTCCTTTCTCCCAGTCCAAACTTGCCTATGTTTTCTAGGTCGTCTTGGATTTTTTTTTTAATTTGGCATTGTCGCTAGTAATAATGGTAAATAATGGAATACAAACTTGACGCATACCAACTTTATGAGCAGACAGGCTTCAGAAAAGGTATGAGTACAATAGAGCATCTCCACACCGTTAGGATACTGCACAAAAGCAACGGAATATAACATCCCAATATGGGTCACATTCATAGGCTTTAGGAAGACTTTCGACACAGTTGAATTTTGGGCAATTATCAGGTCAATTAAAAATGCAAGTATAGACCAACGATATGTTGACATTATAGACACTAAATGATGACAAGGGGACATTGTGTCGCCCGAGCTGTTTACACTGGTGCTGGAAAATGTTCTCAAGGGCCTACACTGGGTAGACAGAGGAATTAATATATCGGGAGAAAAACTCAGTAACCTAATATTTACTGATGACATTGCCATTTTTCCCCAAACAGTGAAGAATTAGAACACATGCTTATAGAACTACAACAAGAAGCAAGAAATAGGTCTATAAATTAACACTTCTAAAACCAAATTTATGAAAAACCAACGGACAAGCATAGAGAGTATAAACGTGCTAGGACAACAAGTAGAGAAAGTTAACTTTGGGAAAAACAAATTAAGAACCTGAAATTGACCATAGAATACATCTAGGATGGGCGTGCCTACGGGAAGATGCGGCACCTCTTCAACTCCAACCTACCCCTCAAACTAAAAACTAAGCTTTATATGGAATGCATTCCCCCAGTAACAACCTACGGATGTGAATCTTGGGTTCTAACAAAGAAAATCCTAATTAAATTAAAGATACACCAAAGAGCAATAGATCGAAAAATGCCAGGAATAACACTTAAAGATCACAAAACCAATGAGTGGATAAGAAATAGAACCAAGGTCGAAGATATAGCGAAGCGAATAAGTGATCTTAAATGGAACTGGGCCGGACATGTTGCCCGGAATACCATCAACTAGAGCGGAAAAACAACAATATGGAGGCGATGCGGGAGAAAAGAAACACCGGCAGACCACAACAATGATGGTATGATGACATCAAAAGAGCAGCCAGACTTAACTGGCACCAAGTAGCACAGAACAGGGAAAACTAGAAAGATCTGAGAGAGGCCCATATCCAAAGGATAGAGAACGGCTGGAAGGAAGGAAGGAAGAAAGAGTAGGTTGTGATCAGAGTATACATCTGCGCCAGAGTATATTTTCGTAGACTTGTTACAGTTACGGAAGCGTCGGTTGATTAAGATAAAGTCGATCTGATTTCTTACAATGTTATTCTGTGTGTGTTGTGGGGAGGTCCATGTTACAGTCTTCTATATATATGGGACATTATACTAGGTTTTCGTAATTAAAAATTATTTTTTAAGTTCCGGACAGAACTGTAAGTACAAGTCGCTTTCCTCTTTTGCTGCGTACGCCTAGGCCATATCCTCCAGTGACATCTGCTTTATTTCTTCGCCCACTTTCGCATTCCAGTCTCCCATAATTCTAGTAATTTCGTATTTTTTGGGGCCTCCATTATGTCTTTTGATTTGTTGGTAAAATTATTTAACCTCGTCGTTGCCATGGTCAGCAGTGGGGGAGTAAACCTGAATGCTGTTAGCGTTTACAGCTTTTGTAGTCAGCTGAATTAGCATTACTCTGTCTGACAGGGGCAACCCCATCCCAAGCCCAAAATCATTGTCGATCATAATTGGTTACTAACTTATCTCAAAAACATTTTTTTTGGAAATAATGATTGATTGTTTTGTATGATGATAGCAATTATAATAAAGAACTCCGGTCTCTTTTGTGTTTTACTGCATCATTCCAAAATATGAAAACTGTAGATATTCCAAGGAATATTGAATGTGAAACGAAATCAAACAAAATCGCTCTTTTATGAAGGATCCTTGTAGCCAGTAATGCTTTTTTGATGGCTTATTATTAGCTTCCGATCACTATTTTTATGAATGTTATTATGGGCAAGGGTTTATTGGTTTAAGTATCATGCTAGCGCCTTATATTTATTATATTACATACGTAAAATACTCATTTTTTCGGAAGTATTTCACAAAAAAACATGTTTATTAATATCTAGTCATCAACAACTGATTTTTTATTAGGAGAATTTTATACTTGGAAATAAACTATCCATAGACCAATTCAATGGCGGTTCTCAAATTTTTTTGCACATAAAATTAATAGTTTAAACTGTTTTACCAAGTTTGTATGCACATTTTTTAGCAATTAAATCGAGAGAAACTATCTCTTGCCTTACCATCGCAAATATGTGAAAACATAATTTCTTCTTAAATTTTGCAACTGTATTTGTTAGTTTGTCTTGATTTCCAAAAATTAAAAATCAATACATTTCTCAATTATGTGTTTATAATAGACCTGAAGCATACACTCTATACAAAAATGTTGTAGTTCCTAAAATATTGAGGAATTAGTAGTTTCTAGGTTCAATCTAGTTTAGCCGATAACTGTATAAGGCAACGAAATATCCGCAGTTTTTAGAAAAAGCTTTAGAAATGATTATGGAATTACTAATTTTTTGATGAAACATATATATTATTTAAAACATTCACTGCGTCCCTGTACTAGATCGAATTTAACAGAAACATGCAGCTAACATTAGAAAATTAAATTTCGGATAAATATGCAGATAATTTTTATAATTTTTGTGTCTTCGTTGTCACAATCAGGTGCTCCCGATCAATGAACCTCATTTCCTTCCACCAAAACTTTAACAGAAAAAACAGTAGAAATAATTTTTTGTTGCAACTACAAATCCAGTGATTTTTTAAATAAGGGTCTCAATTACCGTTGCTTATAGTCTTACTTTTTCATTTTTATACGTGATCCTAATATTGAAAAAATCTCTTCAAATTAAATAAATCAAAAACGGCTTTTATTGTACACCGTTTACAGTTGTCATAAAATTGGCAAAACACAAATATCTCTCACGCATAGAATATTATTGGTGTTTTAAAGTTGACCTCCCCCTGCGATTAACGCTAAAGTCGCGTAAAAATGCGATCCTAACAAACAACCGATACCAATATACTACTCAATAACGCGGTTGGTGCTGAACTAAATGCAGCTAAATCTGCACTTAATTGCCGGCTTAATTGACGAGGGGATAGCGGAGAGTTTAGCGGGTGTTCAAAGGAGCGCATAGAGCACGATAATGTGGCCCAGATTAAATAATAATTTAATGGCAACCTGAGTCAACAGGTCATTGTACTGGTTGACTTCACTTACGTGGTTTGCAAATCGTTTCCAGTTTATTTATAATGTGAGTTTTTTATGAGCATCAATGTCAACGATTTAGCTTCTTGGTAGTAACAAATACTTTAATTATAATATTTTTTATTTGAGTCGGCAGTCGCTTCTAGTACAATTTCATTTGTATGCAAATCAAAGAAAACTAAAGAAATTGAGATTTAAAATCGCTATAGCTTAAAGTGCACCCTATATAATTGTTTTACTAAATATCCCGGCAAAATGTCCAATGTTTGCATGTCTGCAAAAACCTACTAGTTATTTTCATAAAAAGCACAGCTAAATTTATTCCAAAACGGTCTAGGTGAAAATGGAATTTAACAGCTAAAAAGTATTTGTTTGTATATAGAATAATGGCCACATTTATGTCATACATTTTTCATATGCGGTGCATCAGACTTAAATTGTATTTGCTTGTATGTGTTGCTTCAAAGGATGATCTTTCATCTAACATGGGCTTTTAACCGTTCTGGGATATACCGGAGAGCAGGTAAATGCCTCAAGGTGCTCCTGCCGTACCTCTATAAAGAGTTTTAAAACCGAGTAAAAATTCCTTTTTATCTAACAGAATAATAAAAGCAACCACATTACGTTTCAGGATGTTTGAAGTTGAACATTTTCACCTTTGATGGGTAAATATACTTAGTATTTTTCACAATAAAGTTTGAAAACGAGCTTGTAAAATTTGGGCGCGTGAGGAAAAACATAAGAGTTAAATAAGTACAGCGAAAAATAAATGTTTGTGAAGATTTATTTCTTTTTAAATGTTGCTATTAAAGATATCGTACACCTTCATGTCGTTTAAAGCATGTTTTTAGATAATAAATTATTACAAAAGGCATTGGTATTGCTTACATGCATCATTGCATGCTTACGCGATATTAATTCACAATCAGCTGAGTGTACTTTGTATTTTATAAGGAATTATAATGATAGACTACATTCGTTTTATAACTCGATAAAATTTTAGCTTTATTGATAAAATCAACAACCAGCTACGAAGAGAAGAGTTTAAGCCGGAAGAAATATGAAAGCAAAGTTGTATAAAATTTCTAAACAAAATGCGAAATGTATTGTATGACAGTTAGTAAAAAGGGTCGTAACCTTGTTTCGTAAAGTGGAGTAGGTAATTGTTTCTACATTGCGGCTAGCAGGACTATCGTAAATGTCCCAACAATGTCGCTTTACAACTTGTAACACTCAATGGTTCGGAAAATAGCCCCTAACACGTTTGAAATTTCTGGCATAGGCGACCCTATCCGAATTTATTAGAAATGTAAAACTTACTTTTGAAGGCAAAATGTAAAGAAACAACATGCCAAGTCTTTACTTTCAGTTGCAAACGTGTATATTAAAGCTTTATAATGTTGAAAGTTGAACTTGATACTGGTTATGAAACTTGGTTATTTTGTTAGTGAATTAACGCGGACTTTTGCCACT